CAAAGAGTTCCTGAGGCGACTAGTAGGCATACCTAGTAGGATGCGGCTGGCCCTTGTGCTCAAGATGCTCAGTGGGCAGACCAGTGTTTTGATGATGGAATGTTAGCCCACAAAGAAGGATAGGGAGTATCTAGAACTTTCTTCAGAAGTCAGGGACAGCAACATGAGCTGTGATAGTCTCAATTTCTTCATCTGAAAAATAGGCTTAACAATAATACCTACCTCGCAATGCCAACAGGAAAATGAAGGTAGGCATGTATGCACGGCACATAGTAAAGGCTCAAATGCTAGCCACTCAGATTGGAATGAGCAGCGTTCCCAAATAAACTCTGATTATAGATGTAAATGAATAGAAATGATTACATAAAGGATGTTATTTATCATTCGTTTTCTAGAACCAAGTCCTGACTTGAGCGCTAATGTAGTTTGGTTGTTATGTGAGAGCCTCCTATTGGCCATAAATGGAATTGCACCTCTACTCTATTAGCCACTGTGTTGTTCTAGGGAACAAGGAGAGTTATGTGGCTGAGCTGTGAAGACAGAGCTGGGAAGACTCAAAACTGGGGAGGAACCCATGAACAGGGGAGAAAGCATCGGGAGATGGTGAAAAGGGCTGGGAAGCATCCTTAGGTTGAACAGGGCTCTGATGGACAATGAAGATACCCAGAACTTTAAGGGCCTGACAACTCTCTCGACATCTCTATGTTTTCAAAGAAGTCTTCTGAGAAGATGATCCATCTTCCCACCCAGCCTCATGCCCTACAGTCTAATGATGGCAGGTTACAAAACAAATACAATTCATTTCTCTGAGATTCCCCTGAGAGTGAGTTTGAAATGAAATCCACGGTTATTTCTTTAATAGGAAAACACAGTATATACCAAAGGCCACGGAACATTTTCTCAAATATCCACAGCAAGCTGCCCAGTAGATCTTTCTGTGCTGATGGACATGTTCTCCATACTGCTGCTCTGTCCCATATGGGGGCCACTGAGTACTTGTGGCTAGTGAGCTCTTGAAATGTGGCTGGTCTGACGGAGGGAAAACACTCTAAACGTAATCTGATTTAATTTAATTTAAACTTAAATAGTTGCCGAAACCGGTTTGGCTCAATGGATAGAGCGTCGGCTTGGGGACTAAAGGGACCCGGGTTCGATTCTGGTCAAGGGCATGTACCTTGGTTGCGGGCATATCCCCAGTAGGGGGTGTGCAAGAGGCAGCTGGTCGATGACTCTCTCTCATCGATGTTTCTAGCTCTATATCTCTCTCCCTTCCTCTCTGTACAAAAAAATATAAAATATATTTTAAAATATGTATTTAAAAATAAATAAATAAATAAATAAATAAATAAACTTAAATAGCCATGTGTGACTAGTGGCTACCACATTGGACAGCACAGACCCAAGGGCTCTGATCATGTACATCCTCTTGAGTCTAGTCTACAGTTTTGGCATCTTCTACACATTGACCAGGTTGTGGGGCAAAGTGTCCGAGATGCGGACCCTGGCTACCTCCTCCTATTCTCCTTGCCCCCCACCCACCTCCCAAATGGCCCACAAGGCAAGATCTTCCTAAATATTCAGCCAGAGGTCTTATTAACCCCAAGGAGGCAATCCCTTTTGCTCCAGGCAGTTTCATCGGCCCCCTCACTTTGCCCAAAGAATCTGATCCACTCACTGCATTTCTGAAAAGCCAGGGCGACCCCATTCCTAAGACAAAGTCCTCGGGACCAGAGGAGAGGCTGCTGGGCTTTGTACACATGTTTTGGGCCATCCCATGCCCACGGGGCTGAGCGGGCAGGGGTGGCCTCGCCACAATGCTCTGCTTTTGCCTTCTGAAGGGATTGGAGACTCAGCCCTGGCTGGGGCTGTGTAATCTATTCATTTCCTTCCAAGCCTGGCTCTGTAAGCTCATTCACGGAGGATGAGGAAAGGAAGCTGGGGAGGCAAACACATGTACAGAAAACAAACAACACTGGCTCAGCGGCCCCTGGTTGGGTGGGAGAGTGGGGGTGGGGGGGTGAAGCGTGCTGGTGGTGGTGGGGGGGCTCTGGCTGGGGAAGGAGACTGGGGCTCCTGTGGATGCTTCTCCTACTTCCTCCAGAAGCCCTTCCCAGCCTTGGCTCCTGGTGCCCCCATCTTAGTAGCCTCTTATCTCTCTCCATTCAGTCGGCTCCTTGGGAAAAGAGGCAATCTGTGAGGGAAGGCGGAGTGGCAGCAGGCAGAGGGAGCTGGCGGCTGGGAGCCATTTCCCTGTAGCTTCCTCCCATCCTCCGCCTCCATCCTTACCATCACAGACAGGGCACGCGGAGCTCGCCTCATCCCAGGGAGAATCCCAAGTCAGCTGAGCTGCTACCTCAGTCCAGCGACAGAATCAAAAGGACCCAAGCATTTTGATCCAGCGGGCAATTTGCATGTGATTTGCATACATCTGCATCTCCTCCCCCCCTCTAGAGGCCCTCCGTCAAAGGCTGTGAAATGAAATAAATTAATTAGTGCAGCCTACCATGGCCTGATATGCAGGGCCTGACACCGTAAGAGATTCTTAAAGCAATCTATGTGATCACAGGCCCGGGTGGAGGGAGGTGAGGCTGCGGCAGGGATGGGGTGGGCCGGGGTGCCCGGTGTTGGGGGTGGAAAAGGGAAGAGAAAGTCTCTGTCTGCACTGGAAGCTGGGCGTTCTCCTCCTGCCCAGGCCCATCCCCCAGCCTCAGAGAACACAGATTTGAGCCACGTGGAGGCTGGCTCCCAGTTTCCTATCCCCGGGCCTGGGCCTGGCACCGGCATCTCCCTCTCCCTGGCAGCGACCACCCCAGAGATGTTCACCACTCCAATTGCAACCATTGATTTCAAACAAGAGCAAGGATACTTGCTCCAAGGGCTGGGCAGGCAGTGAGGTGCCCGCTGGTATTTCCCTGTCTCCACGCTCCCCCCGCCCCCACCTCCACCCCCATTAACGGTTCCCCTTGGGTGTCCTGGTTGTCTCTGCCGGCAGGGCAGGTCTCACTCAGACCCCATCTCCGGATGGTTGAGCGAGAGATGGGCCCCTCGTCAGCTGCAGCGAGGAGCTGGAGCTAATTCATCGCAGGGCTTCTGCCAGGTGCTAATGAGATGCTCACAGCGTGTCAGCCAAGCAGTTCCTGTATCATGTAAACACGCCTCAGAGCGATACAGCGCATGGCGCTATCTAACATATGCCTGGGCGCTCCCTAGGCCCGCCTATCTGTCTTGGATGGAGCTCTCCTCTCACTCCGGGGGCCCCGGAAGTCAGCGTCACACCTGGGGCCCCCAGCTGCTTGGGTGGAGGGCCCTGGAGGTAAATCTAAGAATCTAAGGGGGGCGGGCTACTATGGAAGACGGAGAACAACAATTTTGGTTCAAAGGAACCCGGATCACAGCAGACAAAACAATCGTCACCAGCCAACGATGCATCAAAGACCAAAGAGTGCAAGGAGGAAGCGCAAGGGCAGGATGCTTCAAAGCAAGACCGGACTAGGAGCAGGAAGGAAATGGAGGGGAGCGGCTCTGAGCCCCAGCTGCCAGGGGTGAGCCGGCAGGCTCCACGCACTGCGCCATGGTCGAGGGTGTGCACAGAACTCGGAGGAAAAAAGGAGCCAGGTTCAGATGCCTGATCACCAAGCGGTGCCCATCCCCTCCCCCATCCACACTCTCCACCTCGCCCCCACTCTCTCCTCCAGCTCCATCCTTGCCATGGACAGCAGCTCCACTGGACTGCCATCCTTGGTCACGTTGGAGGGGAGGGCGGAGCCGCTTACAGAGGTTCGAGAAGAGCCATTCACACCGGGGCTGGCAAACTATGGCACAATGGGGCCAGTTCTGCCTGCAGCCTGTCTCGTGTGGCCTTCAAGACCAGAATGTCTTCAATGGTTGAAAAGGACAAAGAAGGAGAATACTCTGTGACACGTGAACGTGACGTGAAGTTCAAGTTGCAGCCCCCACGAGGAATGTCTTATGGGAACCAGCCATGCCCTCCCATCCCATCGACGGGCTGCCTGTCGCCATCTTCACACCACAGTTGTGGCGACAGGGACCATATGGTCGCCGGAGAGGAAAATATTTACTTTCTGGGCCTCATTGAGAAGAAAAAAAAATAGCCGAAACCGGTTTGGCTCAGTGGTAGAGCGTCGCTTTGCGGACTGAAAGGTCCCAGGTTCAATTCCGGTCAAGGGCATGTGCGTTGGTTGCAGGCACATCCCCAGTGGGGGGTGTGCAGGAGGCAGCTGGTCGATGTTTCTCTCTCATCGACGTTTCTAGCTCTCTAGCTCTCTCCCTTCCTCTCTGTAAAAAATCAATAAAATATATTTAAAAAAGAAAAAGAAAACTTGCCAACCTCTGTGTTAGATCATAGAAGGGGAGCCCTCCACTGACCTTGTTCCCCAGAGGATGGCAATGTGTCCTGTCCAGGATGCTGTGCAGACACAGGGAGGGCTCCATCCCTGCCTGAAAAGACCAACACTCGTGCCCGTGACCACAAGCTGGTCCTCCGGCTGCCTCACCAGGGCCCTGGCCAGTGGGCATCTGCACATCTCTAGTAACACCCCTTCCCTGAGGGTGCCAGCCACTGGGACGAGTTCTCTACGTGACGGACTGGAAGGCAGACCAGCTCTGTGGTTTGGTTTTTAAGAAAGCAGGAAGCTGTCCTGGTCTCTCTCCCCTGCCAAAAACAGCACCCAAAGCCTCCTGCCCAAACTGCCACCCATCAACACCCCTTGGGTGTCCCCCTGCACCAGGGCCCACACGCAGCATCCTGGGTTCTTGTTCGGTTTCCCGGGCACAGCGACATCATGGGCACCAAGGGGCCAGAATGAGACAGATCTGAGAGCAGAGGAAAGACAGAGCGAGGCGGTCTTGGGGCAGGGTGTCCCAAACCTGGCAGAGGGCACAGGGCAGCTCAGGGTTGACTGAGGGCTGAGGGTGTAGCTCCCCCCGGGAAGGGTTCCAGACGGGCCAGGGGAGGGAAGGGGACAGTGGCAGCGACTTACCCGGTACCACACGATTTCACGCATGCGGCCATCTGTCTTGAAGTTGCACTTCAAGGTCACGGCATCCCCAGCCACCACGGGTGGGAGAGGCTCAATGTTGACAGTCAGGTAGCCTATGGGGGGAACAAAAGGAGAATGAGGAGTTGAGGGCATGAGCTGATCAGGAGGGTGGGCTGATCGGGGCGGGTGGCGGAGAGGGCTGGTGCCTCTGTAGGGGGCGCTGTTCTCTGTAGTCTCTGTGATGGGTAACCGAGCCAGAATGAGCCACCATCTTCTTCTTCCTTCTCATTGGCGTACCCTTTCTGGCAATTCCCCTGGCTCTGGTGGAGCCCTCCAATCCCAACACTTCTTCTTGGGATGAATTCTCTGTGAAAGCGATGCCTACTGGCACCCGAGGGAAGGCCACCATGATTTCCCTGGGAAACCCTTTTGTGGTCAAACACTCACCCCCACCCCCTTTTAGAGAGCCCCAGATGTGTGTTGGCCTGCTGGGCCGCGCAGGAAGTGAGCACGTTAAAACACATTTCATCTCGCGTTGCCAAACCTATTTGACTACAGGTCCCGTAGCCATTCCCTAAACGCCATCAGCATCCATGTAGCCAGGGTCCCATGAAGCCCACATCAGGATATGGTGTCCTAGGTGCCAGATCCCTCCATTCCCAGCCTCACAACCCAATTACTCCTGGTGAAAAGGAAGGAGAGCTCCAGGGTACTGCTGTTTGCTTCCTGGACCCCGAATCCCGCATCCCATGCACCCCGCCCCCCCAGGGGAGAGGCAGTCCCAACCCTGGGCCTGGGAATGGTGACCTGGTGGAAGGTGACTATGGGCTGAGTGTCTGGGAAGGACTTTCAAACCTCTGCCAGCTCCTGATGTTACTTCTCGCCCACAGCTGTCCTGGGCATCCTGGGGCCCCTACCTGGTACCATGCCCAGGGGACCAGAGCTGCCTCCATACCGAGTCCAGCCTTGAGGCCTCTGATACCCGCTGCCTCCCAGAGCCCCATCCAAGAGGCTGGGTGATCCCTCCAGCTCAGCGGAGGGCCTCCTTCTTGGGTTTATCATCCAGGCTCTTCCCATTGGCCTCCCACCGGCTGATGTCCAGCCATCGACATCGTGGATCGATCCCGTCCAATCGTCTTAATGAGAAAACTAGCCAGGATGGGCTCGGGGGTTTCAATTGTGCAGGCGGCCTGAGCCGATTGAGCCCCGGGGCCTGGCCCCTGCCTGCAGCATAATGGCTACAACTCTCCAGGGGAAAACACAGACATCGACCCGGGAGGATCAATGTGGACGCCAGAGTCAGACTCGGCCTCCCCAGGCCAAGGCTTCAGGTGGCACGGCCCAGGGGGAGGGGGAGAGATATGGGGCTCACACAGGGAGCCCCAGAGCCATGGGCTGGAGAGAGCGGAGGTCAGAGGGGCCGGCCTTCCGCCTCCTCCTCTCTTCCTTCGTTCGTCCACAGTGTTGGCTCCCGCCTGTTCTGCGCTGGCGCTGGACTGGATCTGGGAAACAGGAGGCTCAGGCATCTCCCACCCTCCAGGAATGCCGCGGGAACACAGGTTCACATTGGGGGGGAGGAGGAAGGGGGTCATGGTGGGATGAAGGTGGAGGACTATGAGACGGAGGGGGGACCTGCCCAGCTTGAGCAATCAGGGAAGTCCCCAGGCCCAGCGGGGACCCCAAACCCTGACAAAGAGGCTGTCCACAAGGGGATGGACCCTCGCGACCACCCTAGGAGAGAGGTAGGGGTATTATTCTCACGTTCCACTGGGAAAACAGAGAGGCCAAGGTACCTGCCCCGATCACACAGCCCTAGGGCAGAGCTGGAACTCGAACTCAGGTCATGAAGGAGCTGTCCTCTGCTCCTTCATGACCACCATGCTGAGTGCACAGGCTTGCTAACAATGGGTGAGGTGAGGAAAGGGGGGGCAAACACGTCACACCCAACCCTGGGAGCCACCAGTCAGCCCCAAGGCTGGGAGACCACGGCAGGAGTCCGGGACCTGGTCCCATCCGGATTCCCATCCTGAGGCTGACCCCCGGGCTCACCTTTCCGGGGGAGGGAGCTACCCTCCCCTAGGGTCTCACCTGTGATGCTATAGCTAAGAGTTAGCTGAGCAGTCAGTCCAGGTGGCTGAATAGCGAAAGACCGGAGAAGGGCCCCTCCAACCGGAAGGAGGTGGGAACTCACGGGGGCATGCCAGGCCAGGAGCAGAGGACAGCCCCCTGCCCAGCCCAGACAGGGCTCCCTGGGGTAGCAGAGGGAGGATTCGAAGTGGGCACCTGAGTGCGGTGGCTCTGACCCCGTGAGGCAGCGTTTCCCAGAGTGTGTAGAGAGGAAGGAACTGCTAGTGGGTGTTTCAGCAAAGAGATGCTCTGACCCACAACTGAGTGTGGGAAGTGTTGGGTTATACCCCTGGTTGGCAAACTGCGGCTCACGAGCCACATGCGGCTCTTCAGCCCCTCGAGTGTGGCTCTTCCACAAAGTACCACGGCCTGGGCGAGTCTATGTTGAAGTGGCGTTAGAAGAAGTTTAAGTTTTAAAAAATTGGTTCTCAAAAGAAATTTCAATCGTTGTCTTGTTGACATTTGGCTCTGTTGACTAATGAGTTTGCCGACCACTGGGTTACACCAAGTTAGACATGCTCTTTCCCTTTAAGAACTTTCAAACCTTTCTCTCCTTCCTTCTTCCTGTCCAGCCTTCATTCGGGAAAGACAAGTTATTGAGACCCTATTTGTTACCAGGCATTGTGCTTGCTAGCCACTGGGGACACAGCAGCGAGAACAGGCCTGCATGGAGCTGCTGTTTCAGCAGAGGAGACAATGAACAAACAGACACCCGCAAATGTGCCACGAGGGTCCGTGTCAATCCGGGTAGAGCGGCAGAGGGCCGGGGGTGGGGGGTAGAGGAAGGGGTTGCTCTGCACCAGGTGGTCTGAAGAGGCCAGAATAAAGGAGGCATGAGCACTTGGTGAACCAGTGAGGAGAGCATTCCAGACAGAGCCCAGCACACGTGCAAAGGCCCTGAGGCTGCAGCGTGCTCAACCTGCTGTGACTCCACACATGGGCCCTGGCAGGGAAGGTTTTCGTGCCTTGGTGCACGCTGGAAGCCATCTCTGACCGGGCATCTTTGTGAGACGACAACCAGGGCCGGGATGAGGGTGAGGCAAGCGAGATGCCCACGATTCAGAATTCAAGGAGGACCCTGAAGTCTAGCTGGCCAGCCCCCGTTCCCAGTCGTGCTGGAGTCCTTGGGAACCAACGTCAGGAAACACCTCTCCAAGCTGAGGCGGAAGTCACTGTGCCTCTGGCTCCCGAGGTCCCCTACTGAGAGCCACAGAGGGCAGAGGGCAGGGGGAGCCATTCCTGGCCGAGGATCCTCCTCCTCTCAGCCCACCGGGGACTGAGGAGCGGCTCCAGGCTGCAGAGCAAGTAGGAGGCCTGGGCTCTAAGGGTTAGCGCCGCCTTCCTGGTGCACGGATGGAACCTTCCAGTTTCCCGGCACTTTCACTCCGGTTTCTCACGGGCTCTCGCAACAGCCCCTGCCCGCTTTCCACGATGCTAGGATCGCTGTGTATGCCACACTGGAGTGTAATTGCCTGTTTGCACAACTGCCTCGCCTTCTGCAACTCAAGTCCTGTTCTCAACAGTGCTGAAATCAGAATTAGACACGAGCTGCTTTTTTGCGCTTTCTCCCGTGTGCATCCTCCATCCTTACCCCACCCTGTGGATACTCCTGTGTCCCAGGAGGGATTGCAGTTTAGAGCCTCGGATGCCTTGCTCTAGGGCTGCACTATAAGCGGCAAACTCGGGATTTGAACCCAGATCTGCCCGACCCTGAAGCCAGTCTCATTCCACCCCCGCCTGCGATCACCGGGAGGAGAGGCATGCGACGTGCTGAGGTCACGCAGGACGTGAGTTCTGGTCTCAGCTGCCAACCAGCTCTGGGACCTCGGGCAGGCCGCCCCTCTCTCTGGGCCTCAGTTTCCTCATTTGTAAACTGAGGGGTGAGCTGGATTGTGGGGGCCTTCCTGCTCTCATCAGTTCCATGCCTGATGTTAACGGAGCCCGGATCTCGCCACCTTCCTTTCCGGTACGACTCACCGCCATTTCCCCGAGATGTGTCTGCCAGTTACTCAGCCGCCAGCTCCAGACATGCGCTGTCTTCTCTGGCATTGACTTTGCCACCAGGCAGCCCCCATGCGTCACCCCCCTGGTATCGAGGCACAGCATCGCGAGTGGCACGGCTTCCTCTTAACGAAGTAGTTCATTATCCCGAAGGCTGCCATCACTCTCCCCTCTATCTCCGACAGCAGCTATACGGCTCCCGTTAAGACACATTTAGCAAAATCGCAGGCGATATTTAGGGCCCGGCGCCCTCCCCACGAGGTGATGACAAATAGCTCCTCTGTCCGGAAACTGACTCGCAATATCCCAGCGCCGCCCCTCCCCGCCCCCCCGCTCCGAGGGGCTGCTTCTGGAGGCTCGGCTTCTGCCTGGCCCCGTGGGTGGGCAGGAGTCAGTGAGGGTTTCCGTGGGGGAGTACACGGAAAAGAGACGTCAATTATATCAAAGTGACCAGGTGTCTCAGTGTGCCCAGGACCAAGGGATTTTCTGAGACCAGCATGGCAAACTGAAGCAGCGTGGTCACCCTAATTCTAATCCCGCCATGGCCACGGGTGGCCCTGGTAGCTCACTCACTCCTCTCCACCTACGTCAATCATGAGGGAGCCACGCCTCCCTGGACCAGCTGCAGGGGCCCTGGGAGTGAGTGCAGGCCTCCTCCCTTGCGCCTGCGTGTTCAGGGGGTAGTCAGCAGACGATGGCAGAGGTTGAGGAAGGATGTTGAGAGATCAGGATCTGTCTGGGACTTCCTGCTCCCACCCACATGTGCCCCCCCTTCTCCTCCAGTAGCCACAGGGACTTCTTTCTCTAAGACGCTCATCCCTGACCTTCTCAGGCCCTCAGAACCTCCCAGGCTCCAAAGAAAAAGTCAAGGATCCTCTTGGGTTGAGCCAGCCACATCCAGCTGTCTGGCTGGCCCCTCTCAGCTCCTAGGTCCCATCCAAGTCCTGCTGCTGTGTCCTCTTCTTCCTCCATTGCTGTCCCCTCT